GACAACACCTCCCCCAAACTTGAGGGATGCATTGTCCTCAATGCATGAAAACTACACTAAATACTGTTATATGAAAATGCAAAAAAAAAAAAATGAAAACTACAAAAACTTACTGTGGTGGTGTGGCTTGACTGGAGTATACGCCCTGTCGTTCTCTTGTATCACTTCTTACTGGTCGAAGCTCAGGCTGGAGTAGAATGCTCGGTCGCGGGAGTCGGTTGTGCTGGAACTGGGTGGACTAGAAGCTGTTGTTGGGGCTGGTGGTGTTAATCGAACTGGGGATGAAATAGGATCCTGCTCAGTCTGCTTCGGTGCTGGCTTGAAATCTTCATCAGTGAAGAAGTGGGGTAGAGTATCACTGCTACTTTCAGTGGTGGAGAAGGATGAGGAATTCCTCGGTATCACCGTGGCTTTCTTCTGGTACGGGTGGGACATGGGTTGCCAATGGTGGCACATTGGTAGGAACCTCTGGAGGGACATAAGATGTCGAGGCATGAAATGTGTTGCCACCCGTATTGTAGTTGAGGATGACACTGGGGAATGTTGGCAGTCTAATCATTGTGGTAGGGAGCAACTCCTTGATGAAGGTGTTGAGTTGCATATCCTTTGCCTTGGCGTATTCAAAGTAAATTTTCATGTGGTCCTCCAGGTGCCCGATATTTTCACGCGTCTCACGCGTGTGCGTGACCACAGCAGCCATTCTAACCGTGGTAACCGATTTTTCTCCTCGCTCCTGCTCCAAACCCTCCTTTGGGTCGTCATCATTGAAACTCATCAACTCAGGGACCTTTTTCTTTGTAATACCATCCTTGGGTTTGATGAAGTCTTCGAATGGTTCCTCAAGAACCTTTTCTTTCTACACAGCGGTTATAAGGTTTGGGAATAGTAGGTTACCACGGTTCTTCTTGGCACATCATGGATCTGCTCAAAGATGATTTCACCCACATCGATCATCCTACCGTATATGATCGAGTGCAACAGAATCAACCGCTTGACGAGGACATTGGTGTTATGGGACGTTGGCATCAGCTTGCCTTTAAGAAAATAGTTTCACAGTTTCACGTGTTCTTTGAGGGTTCGGCGATCTACTCACTTTCTTGTGGGTGCATTCCCTTCGAACTTGGCCCACCCAAAACATAAATCCTGTAGAACTCCACTGTACGTTTCTTGATATGCCTCGGCCATAAATCTCTTATGTTGGTCATCCGCTTTCCCCAACTTTAAATATTTGTTAAGTGCAGAAGGGGAAAAGTGAATGAGTTTTCCTCGAACATATACCGTGTGGTTGGAGGTGTCCGCGAGGTGTGCATAGAACTCCCTCACCATTGTTGGTTCTACGGCGTTAGGATTACGAGCAAACTTCTCCCAGTTATGCTTCTTTATGACGTCCATCACCTCAGGGCCAAACTGCTCTTCTCTCTCGGCTAGAAAAACAAATCCATCTTCCAAATAGACTTGGTGTTGCTGAATGATTTTGAATCATGCCTTTGCTTCGGCTGTTTGGAAACGTTCAAAACTCTGTCTGGGGGCTAGGGCCGGTCTCGATCTCACCATTTTTCTTGGCTGATTTTAGTGGTGGCGATGGGGAGGTATTTTGATGGAAAGAAAAGAAATTTTATGGTTTGTAAAGAAAGAAGGAAACACGATGAAGATGAAGAAGAGTGGGTAGTTTTTCTTGGAAAGTGATGGGTGGTTTCGGGGCATTTTGGTCTTTACATGGTGGGGAAAAGATTTCTCATTAAATGAGAAATATTTGATAAGACATAAAGGGGAAGAAAGGATTTCTTTGCCTCTTTATTCTGCCTCCAAATCACGTACCCTAGGGCTTCTTTTTTTTCTCTTCATGCATGCTTCAACTCCCCATGCTGCCACGTGTTCCTTGCTCGCCTATAATATAAAAGAAGAAAATAATAAAATAAAAATGGATTAAAGCATAAAATAACTTAACTTATTTATGTACATAATTCAGATTTTCGTGTCCATGGCAACTAATATTTGCTCAATTAAGAAAAGCAAACTCTTGGGCATCATGTGCTAACGATGCTAGTTTGTCGCGCATGATTGGGGCTCCTTTGTACTCCTTGAGTCTCTGCCCGTTCACTTTGAAGATGGAACCATCGTTTTGGTTCTGAATTTCAATTACTCCATTGTCATGGACTTGGTATACGATGAATGGTCCTGACCATCATGATTTTAGCTTGCATGGGAATAACTTAAGGCGTGAATTGTAGAGCAGTACTTGTTGTCTAGAATAAAAGTTCCTCGGCAATATTTTTCTGTCATGCCATCGTTTTGTTTTCTCTTTGTAAAGGTGGGTATTCTTGTATGCATATACTCTAAGTTCATCCATCTCGTTCAGTTTCAATAGTCTTCTTTCTCCAGCAAGCTGAGCATCTATGTTTATCTTTTTGATGGCCCAATAAGCTTTGTTTTCGAGTTCAACCGTAGATGACATTCCTTTTCATAGACTAGTTTGAACGGGGACATTCCCAGCGGTGTCTTGAATGCTGTGCGACAAGCCCATAGTGCTTCATCTAGCTTCGTCGACCAATCTTTTCGACTTGGGTTGACAACATTTTCGAGGATCTGCTTGATTTCTCGGTTAGATACTTCGGCTTGTCCATTCGTCTGAGGGTGATACGCCATAGTAATTCTATGTCGTACTCCATATCATTTTAGTACCTTGGAAATCAATTTATTATCAAAATGTGTCCCTTCATTGTTAATGAGAGCTCGTGGTGTTCCAAAGCGGGTGAGTATATTTTTTTGCAAAAACTTCAACACCGTTTTGGAATTGTTCTTAGGTGTTGCAATGGCTTCAACCTATTTTGATACGTAATCCACTGCCAAGAGAATGTACATATCTCCGAATACTGTTGGAAAGTTCCCATGAAATCTATGCCCCATACGTCGAAAAGTTTGATCTCCAGAATGTTTTACCATGGCATCTCATCTATTCGAGATGTTTTCTGTATGTTGACATCTATCACATGACTTATAGAATTCACACGTATCTTTGAATAGGGTTGGCCAATAAAATCCCGACTGAAGCACTTTTGTTGCTGTTCTCATCCCACCAAAATGCCCTCCATATGGTGATGAGTGGAATTGAAGTAGGATATCTTGCTCCTCTTCTTCTAGAATGCACCTTCGGATTATTTGGTCTCCGCACTGCTTAATAGAAATGGTTCATCCCAGTAGTAATGTCGCACATCATGTCGAAATTTTCGTTTGCCCTGGCTAGATAAATCAAGAGGAACAATACCACTAACAAGAAAATTAACGATGTTAGCATACCACGGTGCAGCCGTGACAAATAATATTTTCTCATCAGGGAAATCCTCTTTAATATCTGTGATGTCAAGACAATCAGGTTTGTTATCTAGCCTAGACAAATGGTCCGCCACTTGATTTTCTATACCTTTTTTATCCTTGATCTCTAAATCAAATTCTTGTAGTAATAATATCCACCGAATTAGTCTAGGCTTTGCATCTTTTTTATTAATCAGATTTTTAATAGTTGAGTGATATGTGTGCACAATTACCTTAGTGCCTATTAGATATGGCCTAAACTTATCGAATGCAAATACTACTACTAAGAGTTCCTTTTCAGTGGTGGTATAGTTCACTTGAGCATCATTAAGTGTTCGGCTTGCATAGTATATAACATGAAAAATTTTACTTTTTCGTTGCCCTAGCACTGCTCTGACTGTATAGTCACTAGCATCGCACATAAGCTCAAATGTTTCGTTCCAGTCTGGTGGGATAACTATTGGTACTGCTGAAAGCTTTTTCTTCAAATCTGTGAAGGCATTCAAACAATCATTAGTAAACTCAAATTGATGATTTTGTTGAAGCAAAAGATATAAGGGTTTAGAGATTTGAGAAAACTCTTTTATGAACCGCCTATAGAATCCTTTATGTCCAAGGAAACTGTGTACACCTCGCACATTAGTAGGTGGGGGAAGATTTACAATTGCATCCAGCTCTGGTTTTTCGACTTCGATGCCATGGCATGAAATTTTGTTTCCCAACACTATTCTTTCAGTTACCATAAAATGACAATTTTCCCAATTCAGTACTAGGTTGGCTTCTTCACAACGTTTCAACACCTTGGATAAATTACCGAGATATCGGTAAAAGTCATCACCTGAAATAGAGAAGTCATCCATAAATATTTCCATGCCATCTTCCACCATATCTGAAAAGATTACCATCATGCATCGTTGGAATGTAGCTGGAGCGTTACACAGTCCAAACGGAATTCGCCTAAATGCATAGGTACCATACGGGCATGTGAACGTTGTTTTCTCTTGGTCTTCAGGTGCTATGGCAATTTGGTTATACCCTGAGTATCCATCGAGAAAGCAATAAAATACCTTTCCCGCTAATCTATCCAACATTTGATCGATGAAATGGTGGGGAAAATGATCATTCTTTGTGGTTTTGTTAAGCTTCTATAATCCATGCATATGTGCCAGCCCGTGACTGTTCTCGTGGTGAGTAACTCATCATGCTCGCTTTTAACCACGGTTACACCACCTTTCTTTGGCACTCATTGTACTGGGCTAACCCATGAACTATCAGATATAGGATAAATCACTCCCGCATCCAGCCATTTTATTATTTCCTTCATGACTACCTTCTTCATGATCGGGTTTAGTCGTCTTTGGGGTTCTATCGAGGTGCTATGGCTATCTTCAAGATTAATTTTGTGCATGCATATGGTTGGACTGATTCCTTTCAAGTCTACCATCGTCCATCGTATAGCTTTTCTGTGCTGTGACAAAACATTCAACAAACTCTTCTCCTGTTTGGAGGTTAGGTTGGTAGAGATTATCACTAGTAAAGTTTCATCAACTCCTAGATAAGCATATTTCAAATGTGATGGTAAAGTCTTAAGCTCCAATTTCGGTACATGTTGTGAAGATGACTCTTGAGATTTAACTTCATCATAATCTAAAGGTTTGAATTTCATATATTACATATTAAGAAATCTCAATTGTTCCTCTGTCTTTCATTCATATCTTGCTTTGGTATCGCTTTCAGGGTGTTCAGTGTGCAGATTTTTGTTGTCGTGGCCATGATTGTCAGAACCGTCTTCTGAAAATATTTAGTTAGGGCTAAAGTTTTCTGCTTTATGTATTTCGGTTGTAGGTTCATGGTACAAATTGTTGTAGTCATCAAGCCTTAGGGATTCACCTCATCCCAGGATTGCCTTTTCTTCAATCTTATTAATGCATTGGCATTCCTCTGGATCGTCTGCGTATTTCATAAGTTGAATACATTGATTGTGACACTTTGCTTTCCAACTCTCATGGTGAATTCTCCCTTTTCACAATCTATTGGGATTCTGCCTATGGCTAAGAATGGGCATCCCAGAATGATTGGTGCGTTTTCATCAACTTCTCAATCCAGAATGAGAAAATCCATTGAAAATATGAATTTATATACCTTTACTATGACGTCTTCAATTCTGCCCTCGGGTTGCACATAAGACCGATCAGCCAACTGTAGAATGACCGAGGTGGGATGGGCGTGATACCCTTCTAGTTTCATGAATATCGATTTTGGTATCAAGTTTACACTTGATCCCAAGTCAGTGAGAGCTCGTCCGATGAAATCATTACCTATAAAACATGGTATTACAAAGCTTCCAGGGTCTTTTTGCTTTGGTGGGAGTTTGCTCACTACCGAGCAGATTTCTATTACCGTGGTGACACGTTCTACCTTCCTTTTCTTTGTAACAATTTCCTTCAGATACTTGGCGTAGGAAGGCATTTGCTTGATGGCTTCGTGTAGGGGCACATTGATACACAACTGGTCCAGAACATTAACGAATTTCTTGAACTGGATGTCATCATCATGTTTCTTCTACCGTTGAGGGAACAGTGGTGGAGGTCTCACATCGACTACTGATGGTGCAGGGAAACCATTGGCCTTGACCATGAATTTCTTGTTATCTGGTTGATGCTTTTTTGAGCCTTCACTTATTTCCTTCTCTTCATGCGCTTTCTCTTGTTCAGCATTCTCAGATTCCTCATCAGGTTGTGTTACACCTTGGAGAGAATTGTTTAGTTTTCTCCCCCAAACTTGTCATCTTGATCAACTTGTTTTCACTCCTTAGCGTAAGTACATTGCATTGTTCATTCCCATGATGCTTAGTGACTTCAGTATCACTAGGGAGATTTCTGTGTGGGAGAGAATGTAATGACTTGGCAATCTGTCCAACTTGATTCTCCAATGCTCTGAGAGATAAACTATAGCTTTGCAAAAGTGTTGCCTGACTTTATAACAAATTTCCTTGATTTTTTATTGTTGCAGAATGTTCGTGCATCAAGGTTTTTGTATACGCCATGAAATCTTTTGTCGATGCCATGAATTCCTACAAGGATAATTCCAAGGAGTTAGTATTGGAATGAGTGTTAGAGGAAGAAGCTATACCTTTGTTGTTCTGCTAGGCTGCTGATGCTGATTCTGAATATGCTGATGGTCAGAATTATTTTGTTGTGGCCTATAATTTGTGGCTTGATTGTTTCTATTCCCTTGATTATTCCACGAAAAATTTGGGTGTTGTCTCCAACCAGGGTTGTACGTGTTTGAATAGGGATTATTGTTGTTTCGATTGTAGTTTCCCACAAAATTAGTTGACTCATGGTTTTCAGGTCATTCACTCCCATGATGGTTGCCTTGACAGAATAGGCACACATTATTGGTCGCCTTGACTTCTCTTACCTCATTAGGACGTTGCAAATTTTTCAACATATTGGTTATGGCAGATAGTTGGGCTGCTACCGAATCATTGCTTTCTAATTCATTTGCTCTAGAGGTTTTTCTGTCGGTTCCCAATCTTGCACTTGGAAATTGATAGTCGTTATTTGCTATCCTGTCGAGGATGTCAAAAGCTTCCTCGGGTGATTTGTCTAGTAGGGTGCCATTTGCTGAGGCATCTAACATCATTCGAGTTGGTGCATTGACTCCATTGTAAAACATCACCACTTGCGTCCAATCATGAAATCCATGATTAACACATTTGCGAAGTAAACTTTTATACCTATCCCAACATTTGTACATTGATTCATCATCGCCTTTACGAAAACTCACAATGTCATTCCGAAGCTGTGTATTCATATTGGGCGGATTATATCGGAGTAGGAAACTCTTGCATAAATCTGCCCATAACTCCATTGATCCGGAAGGAACTTCGCTAGCCAAGCTCTTGCTCTATCATGTAAAGAGTAAGGAAAAAGCTTCAGTTTGAGTACATCTTCATGTACTCCTTGTTGTCTAAATGAATCACATACTTCAAGGAAAACACGCATATGTTGTCTAGTGTCTTCATTAGGTGTACCACCAAATTGGCCGATAGAGTTCAGCATATTAAACATCACCGGTTTGAGTTTAAAATGAGTGGCTTGTATCTCAGGTACCACTATGCCAGGATTGAGGTCATCGAGAATTGGGTTCAAATGATCTCGTATCGCTCTTGGTCTTGAAACTTGATCTCCTAAATCTCCTATGTCGTTTTACATTTGATTCAATTGTTCTCTGGTTCTTTGGGCACGCAACCTTTGTCTGAATGATTGTTTAACTTCAGGGTCGAATGGTTATAAAGGCTTACCAGCAGATCTCAAGGTCATGCAATAATAAAAACCTATAAAAGAAAATAATAAACTATGTTAGACTAAATAATTATAAAGTGACACAAAGAACTTGTTATGGCTGGAAATTTCGTTAGTTGCCAATCCCAGCAACGATACCAAAAACTTGATCGCTTGTGAATGTATATACTAAGGCAAGCTAATCTGTGCAAGTATACACAATCGATGCAAGTAATATAGTAGTGAGTGAGTATCATCTCCACAGGGATTGAATTAGAAATATCTTTTCACCATACCTAGAACTAATGCCACAAATTAAATTACTAAGTATTAAAGCTAAGAACTAATATTAAGGAGCTAAGAATAATGATTCAATGATTTCAAACAAGTGTGGTCGAGACAAAGAAAATATGCACACAGATAAAACAAAACAAAATAAGTATTAGATTAAATATAATGCAAACAACCTCACATATTCAGACGTTTCACAGAGCACTGATGCTAAACCATTGTCTCGGCAACAATTATTTTAAGCCCAGAATGAATTATTATGACTCGCTAAACTACCCGACAGGATTACTAGGTATTCTTAGACGGTTGTTATGGCAATACCTCTAGGCGTTAACTGTAGACCTTGTCTTAACCTACTCTAGCCTTTATCCCTTTTAGTCGTTTGAAACTCACTCCTTATCTCTAAGGTAGACAAGTTAGAACTTCACTATCCCGGATTCATTCATTTGCTCACGTTGATCTCTCTTAATTATCTCGAATTTAAGAATCACTTTCTAAACAAAAGGCTATCTCTCGATGCTCTTACAATACCCAGACATGTTTTACCGAAACCCCATGCGATCTCTCGATACTCTTAAAGTGTTAAGGCAAAATATTTAAACTATGAGCGAAACAGTCATAAGCAAACATAATTCACCATTCATAAACATAAAATATTGTTCAGGAAAAACAAAGTTTAACACCAAGTAAAGCGTTCATGGTGTTATCAAAGATTATCCAAGATTAAACCGTTTAATACAACCCCAAATAAAATAAGAGTTTAAAAACAAATGAAGAAAACCTCCTAAAACTAGGGGCTCTGTCGCAAAATCCTGATCAGCACCACGCCTGCCTTAGTGATCACCCTCTCTTGAAGCCTGATCACCGCTCTGCTATCGTCTGGCTATGGAAACCAAGAAAGAATGGGGTAGATGGAGGGAAAGCACTACAGTTGCTTGCTCACGCCTAAGGTAAAGCTCTTCTTTCTTCTTCCTTGCCCTCTTCTTTTTGCGGCTACGACTGGTAATTATAAGAAGAATCTCCTAGGGCTTTGCATGCTTTTAGAGTTTCCTTAATTAGTTGTTATTAATTTCCCAAACTTAAAAAGGAAAGGCGGCTGGCGGTTGTCAAGATATTCAAGGCTTGCTTGCACGTGAAACATGTCATCCACCTGGCATGTGACATAGGCGGTTTCGCCACATTTTCTTCAGACTTCTTCAGATAAATCTTACCTCGGCGAGATAAATCTGCTCATCATGTTCTTATCTGCTCCATTGGCCTTTGGAACTTTTCATTGTCACGACTGAAATATTCTTCCTCTGTAGAATTTATGCACAAACACAACTCAAACAAACCCTTCTCCTCAGTAGCATCAATTAAGCCAAATAAATCTTGCCTAGGAAAAACTTATCCACCATAACCTATATGTAACTAAATGCAACTAAAAATGTAGTGCATACTTTGTTTAGATGAGCAATAACTTAAGTGAAAAGACTAGAATTTAAGTCTTTTTACGGAGTTATCACATATCAACATATATAGTCATGTATACATACAAATCATGTCATTCACACAAATCATGTAATACATATAATCACATATAGCACCTATACTAATATCAAACACATGCTTATGTTCATGACTTCATGCATACTACTATAGGAAATAGACTCATCGCAAGTCCTATTTCCATTAAACACCATATGTCACTAGTATACACTCACATAGCCTCACTAGTCAATATCGTTCTCTTATCTATTCTTGATGACCATTACTTGTTGACATGTCAGACTCTATTCTCGTTCGATATCTACACAATCATACATGTTATATACATATCATCATTTTAAATGTTATAAGTCAACCCTTAATAATTCAAGCTAATCAAAATACTTAATACAATTTCTACTTTGAGTAGTATCGGTACCCCCATGCATTGTACCTATACTTCCCTAGCTATGGTATTGATACCAAGCTTGGGTATCGATACCTTTTTTACATTCGAAATCCTTATTTCAAAAAAATGGGTACTTATACTGACCTTATGGTATCAGTACTCTTGGTATCGATTCTATCTTTCTAGGTATCGATACCCCATGAACAATTTACAAATTTCTGCCTTATGGTATCGATACTCATTCAACTAGTATAGATACCCATACTTTAATAATCATTTATTTTCTCTTTGAAGTATCGGTACTAAATGAACAGTACCGATACCCCTAGCCTAGAATTTACTGGTTTCACCCGAAAATCAACCATCACCCAACTAAATTCTTTATTTTACTCTTCTTTCATTCCTTTAAACTTAACCACACTTACACAAATTAACTTATTTCACTTTAACTCATCATAACATCCCATATATAACTATTATTCTTGAATTCAAGAGTCATACCAAATAATCAACATGTTCCTAATTCAGTTCTAACACCTTGAATTTCTTATTTCTATTCTCGACAAGTCAAATTTAACCTCAAAACTTATTTACTAACTTCTTTCCATAATTTCACTTAATTACCCCTTATATTAAATCTTCCATAACTTCCTTATCTTTAATTTTCTATTCCTTTTAAGTTCCCATAATATTTCCTAAGGCTCCGTCACTCAAAACCATTCTTTTAATTGCAATGAAACCAACTAAAAATCAAACTCACCTTAGACATGAAGAGCTCGCATTGAGAGGAGGAAGAAGAAGTAAGTTTTCAGACTTCTCTTTCTCTCTTTCCCTCATTTCCACGTGTTTAACTCCTTATAAAGGAAAAATAAAAATATTTCCTTTGAAAAGACCAATTTACCCTTACTTCATCACATATTTATTAAACCATCCTTAATAAAATATTCCCAAATAGGTCGCTGAACTTTTAATTTATTTTGAAATTAAGCACAAATCTTTCAAAATTTACATTTTAATCACTAACCTTGTTTTGGGATGTTACAAATCTCCCATCCTTTTAAGAAAACTTGCCCTCGAATTTTCACTACACACATTGATAATAACATATCTTCTAATGTTCTCATATTGCTTCATTTACTTAATCTTTCATGTTTACTGCTAATAGACTTACTTTTATAATTCTATATAATGTCACTTATTATATAACCATAATTCCAATCCTTATTACTCAATATCATAATCAATTGATCTTTTTCATCATTCTCTAATTGTTTTGCACATAAACCAAACCTTTACTCATTCCTTAATCCTTGTCTATATTACGATATACACAATCTTTTCATATAACCTTACGTATTTTTCCAAATAATAATCACCTCTTCAATAATAACAGGTGCTAACTTACTCCATTTCCTTATACAAATCCTAATTAATCTCCAACAAAATTCTGATACATAACTTATAACGATTCTTTCTCGTTTCACTAAGAATTTAAAATTTTACTACCTAAGTATCAAACTTATAATCTATGCCTCAATGTAACCCTTGTCATACTTAATCCTTTAAACTCCATCTTTTCATTTTCCCATCTTATTATTCTCTCAGACAATCAAGATCTCCTGATAACATAGATCATATCTTTTTTCATACTCTCATACTCTTTTCATATCACTTATACTTATTGTTGATTACCAATCTTATCACCTCTTTTTTTTAACTTTGATAATCCACTTTACCTACACAAGACCTCAGTCTTATATACTATCCCTTTTATTATCTTTAACTTTTTTATCCATCCGAATCTTCTTTCAGACATACCGATCCTTATTTCCATGACTATATTAATCTACATTATTAGAATGCACAACCAATTTTGTATCCACATCATACTTGGTTAGCTTAGCTTGACATCATTTCTAATACTTTACTTCTAACGTACTTACGATCATATAATTTTGTTAGACAACATCAGTACTTCCCATCTAGAGTGTAAACTTTTCATCGAACCATTCATATATATTTTTTCCGTTCGAAATTAACTCAGTAATAATTTACTTAACTTATTAAACACGCATTCTTACTTTTTCAACTCAAACATTCTAACTTCCTTTGTCTTATAAACTGATCACCGATGTATCCATTCTTAAACCCTTCAGAACAATATCTACATCACTTAATCCATTTTAAATACTTCGTCTACAATACCTTACATAATTTCTAGCAGAACTTTTAATCCAATCCACCATTTAACTTCATATCCATTCTTAACTCCTTACTTTATCTTCCAGTACCAGATCCTACTACTTAAGTGTTTCAAACTTTCATCAGATTTGATATTTTGACATGGAATATAAC